AAAATCTGGTGTAACACCTTAATAATTTTCTAATCTTTTAGCAAATAATTTTTTAGCGAATTTATTTTTAGCGAATAATTTTTTAGCAATCTCAATTTCCAATGCCACTTGGGTAATATTGGTAACCAATTAAGGTTTTAATTTTTTCATGTGTAGAAAATTAAAATGGCTACTTGATTCAAATTTTATTTAAATTTTGCTACAAAAAAATTGGAAAAATCTTTTAGTCTTATGATCCTCTTCCTCTTCTGTAATTATAATGTTTCTCAAGGTCCTTGTATACAAGATCGTCATTAGGCAAATGGATGTTCAAGCCTTTCTGCCATTTATGAGCAAAATCTACAGACTTGTTTAATTTTATTTTGATAATTTTAATGGGGCAGTTTTTAAAATTTATCCGATTAGAGCTTTTTAACACCGCTGTTGGCATATTTGGTGATAACTGATTTAAATCAGTTTTAAAATATTTGCAATGAGAGAAACTTAAAAATCTAATTTTTTTGTTTTTGCAATCTCAGTATTATCAGGGCATCTTGATCATTTTCATTCTTCCTCCAAATTTACTACATTTACATTTTATTAGGTTGGAGCTGTTAGGTATTTCAGCAGATGTGAATAGTCCTATAGTGGTTTGAACAACAGTTATTTTTCTGCCATTACATTCTTTATTTTATAAAAATTAAAAAAATGTTTTTTGTGGTGGGGGGGGGGGGGGGGTGGTGTTTTTTCTCCAAAATAGACTTAGAATGACGATTTAAAGGTTTAGCGATTCCATAATAATTTTTATTTTTGAGTTATTGTTTTACAAAGATATGTTAAAGCGCTTTTGTTATAAATGGGCATTTCCATATTTTTAAAATAAAATTTTTGATTATAAATATACTAAATTTCATGGTGGAGATGTGGAGGTGGGGATAGATTCAATTTATATTTTATTTTTTGAATCGGTTTGGGCTAACTTGTGTAATTAACAATCGGGTTTTAATGTGTAGCCTTAATTTAAAGATAGGTTTGGACTATTCTCTGCCAATAAGCTCCATATCGATGCTTTATATACCGGAATCCTCCCAATGTAATCCCGATTCTCCTAATTATATTTTTAGTTGGAACAATGATATATTTTATTATTAATAATTAAAGAAGGATAATAAATATATCAAATGAAAAGTAAATTTTAGAATAATGATTAATTTTAACATTTATAATTTTACAGTTGAGTATTTGAATTGAGTTTTACTAAAATTTTATTTATGTTTATTAGAATTAATTTAAGTTTACATTGATATCCTAAAATTAGATTTTTATGTTTATAATAAATTATTAATATTTATTAATATGATATAACTTCAGAAGTCAAAGGGTATTATATACATCACTAGTTAATCTCTAAATATAGAGGGGCTCATTACAGATCTAGAATTGAAAAGGAATTTTATATGTATTATTTAAAAATAATGAAATTCATATATTTTCGATGGAAAAAATATTCGAAATATTCATATGTTTTGAATTTATTTTATGTAAAACTTAAACAATTAACAACATAATAATCTATCACTAAATAAATTGGTTCTATATAAGCCAGGCCCGCTTATAGGCTTATTTGGGGATAGGGAGGGGCAAATTTTAGACTGACTCCACCTCTGCAGTTGCCCCTTTAATTTTCTTAAATTTCGTTTGGTTTCTATTTATGATACATGAAAGGGTAATTTATTTATAGTAGAACATGAAAAGAGATAACTGAAAGTATTAACTTACTCATTTAAAATCAGGGACTCAAACCGAAACCGGACCTCTTAACTACTACTAAATGGTATTTTTTATGGAATTTAAACTGGATGTGAACCGTTAAATAATATTCTATTCGAACCTGAATCGAACCACTAATAATTCTATGACGAACTTCATGATTTTATGTTTATATAATAATGTGAATGTTATTACAACTATCTTACCAAAATTCTAATTCAATTAATTTTGATTGATAAGTTTCAGATATTTTAAAATTTTTTTTATAATGCTTTTATTAACATATTTTAAATATTTGCAACTTCCTTTTTTAAATTAATGAAATATAAAAAATTGCTTCTTTATGCAAAATTTATAAGTAATTTTTTATTTAAAAGAATACCAATGACATTAATACTATAGACTGCCGATCGTAATGCTAAAATCAAATTTGAAGTGGCAAAAATTGAATTGAGTAGCAGCCATTTTGTGTTTGGAGCTTTTAGGAAAGAAACGTTTGATAATTTCATAAATTTGATTTATTTTTATTATGTATATTTATAATCTTATATGTTTTACGATGAATAATAACCATTTTTAGAGCATTTATGGTTATACTGTTTTGTTATTGCCTAATATAAACAAAAATTATTATTAGATTTAATGCAAAAATTTAACAGAACTGTACTTTTTCAGGGCATAAATCAAGTATTATAAAAATATGTTATTTAACTTAAATATTTATAGGTCAAGGAAATATTATGGTGATTATTTGTAAGAAAAAACTACACTTTATACCATATACTTTTGTTTATAATAATACATTTATTTTATTAGAAGTAAATATAACATATATATATTATTTGTATTTATTATTGTAAAAATTTATAAGTTATTTTATTTTTCACAATATACTTTAGTGAATTAAATTTATATATATTTAGAAATGGATAGTTATAATTATTAAGGAATAACATAATTCAAAGCAAAAATAAAATAAAATATAAAAAGACTTATAAATTATAAAATATATCCTCTTTTTATTTGCTAAAAAAATAAATACAAAAGAAATTATATCAAAATTTTTTTTAATATAATTTAAAATATTTATCAATAAAATCATATACATTCAATTTTGTTTTTGGAGTAATTTCTAAAATTCCAAATCACATGTTAAATATTTTTATAGCAAATCTGACATAATAATTCTTACAAGAAAAAATAGGTTATTAATATAAGCTGCATCTTTAGATTTAATTCTTAATATTTAATTTGAGATATCATACTTATGAAAGGAAATTTTGCTTCCTGAATAATATTTTTGGTTACAGCATATGCACTACAATATTACCATTTTGTTAAAATATAAAAAATATATTAAATTTTATAATAAATTTCAAATCATGATATATCTTTCCTCACTTTGATTTTTGTTATTGAATATATAAATATAAAATATTAAATTAATTCTTATAAAAAATATTCATTCTAACTTGATAAGTCTAAATATATTTTAAAAATCTTAAAGATATTAATCAAGTATTAAAGAAAACAATAAATTCTTACTTCTCTGGAAATGACAAAATTTTAAACTATATTCTTATTAGTATAGAGATTTTCTTTTATATTGATTAGTCTATATAAAATATTAAAGATATACATTAAGTAATAAACTGCAAATGTTAATAAAGAGCCGGAATATTTAATTATGTTCTCATCAGAAGGTATATATTCTAACTTGCTTAGTCAAATAATATTCATTATGTATTAAACATCACCTTTACTTTCTCTGTAAATGTTAATAAAGACCAGAAAATATTTAAATAACTATAAATACATGCTCTAAAAATGTTTTTTATTCATCTAGTAAAAAATATGATTATAAATAAAATGTATAATAAAAATAAATCTGAGATTTATGAAATTATCATACATTTCCTAAAAGCTAAACACAAAATAGCTGCTACTCAATTCAATTTTTGCCACTTCAAAAACATTAATCATGTCATTGGATCATATTGATTTTTAGTTATTTTTATCTGAACACAAACCTGAACCGATATTCGTTTTAGTTTGGATCCCTCTAAAATATACATCTCAACCAAAGTTATATTGTCAATATAAATTTTTTTATAGATCTGAACTGCTTAATCTCACTGGTCATAATATCGTAATGTATTTATGGATAATTTTTATATCGATTTATTTAATTCATAATATATAACTATTCCACATAAGCTATAATATAATAAAAATAAAAAAGCCTCTTTTATAAAAAGGTAATTGGGATCGAATATTTATATTTAAATTGGGTTTGATGAAAGGGCTCTTATTTTAGCGTCTATATGTTTTTTGAAAAATTTAAAATTCTGTTTGACATATGTCCAGGAAGAGACAGCGCATACCTGACAGGATTTTGATTGAATGCAAACCCCCCTCCCCTAAACCTATGCATAACCCTCTAAAAATTTCCCCAATTCAATTAAAAACCATCACATTTACAATCAGTGTCTAAATGACAGGATACTTACTGGATGCAAACCCCCTCAAAAATCAATACCTACCCCCGTAAAAAAATTGCCACCATTTGCGTCGTTATTTCTATATTATTAATATTACCTTTTAATTATAATATTAGTTCCTTAATAAATTATAAAAAGAATAATTTAAATTATTAATGCTCTACTAACAATTATCAAAATAGTCCACCCCCCTTTAAATGCCTACCCCTATACTCCTATCCAAAAAAATTGGATTCAAATTGTACTTACCCCCACTGCTCATGTAAACGCTGGGAAGAAATAAAGATTTGTAAAAAAACATATGATTTGTTAATTTAGAATTAATTTATTTTCTCGGCTATATAAGCCGGATTAGAATTTATATTAAAGTCTCAAATTAAGGATTTACCTAAAAACCAAGGTACAGAAGTTAAACCATCTGGTTTAGGCTATCATCATTGATTGAAACCATAATAAGTATTATGCAAGCACAATTAAACTAAATTCAACATATATTACATATGATATCATATACTATTTGTAAAACCATTAACATGGTTCTTTTGAGTTAGGAGTTAATTCGCATCTTCTTTCTAATTTTATATAAACATATTTGATCATAATTATATATATTTTTTTATATGATATTTTTAAACTTGGTATTTTTCAAATAAAATGATTGTATATTTCAATTTTGTGTTCAAATAATTCAATCAAAGGCAAATATTAATTATATATTGTTAAGAAAATTTATTGCCCACCCCCCTTCCTGAAAGAATCTGACCCTATATGGACAGAGCAATGACATAATGTCATTGGGACAGAGATAGATTCCGGCCTGGTATATGATATCGTATGATGGCAAATAATAATTAACCCAGCCAAATTAGCATTGCCTGTTATATGACCACTCTCAGATTTGACATGAGCTTACATTTCTATCTGATTTCTGTTTTATAATAGATACGTATTTTTTTTTCAAATAACCTATATATATATCTATAATTAAAAATGCCCCTTAAGTATTTAGTTATATTAGGGTCGGTAAGAGATAACCGAAATGGACTAAGAGTATCAAAATTTATTCTGGAAAAGTTATCACATTTGCCTCACGAGTTTAAGCTCTTAGGTTAATATATATTTTTTAATTTGCTTTCTATATATTTACTTTTAGATCCACTTGAATTAAATCTTCCTCTCGTACGAACTCCATTGCATTTTTTCAAAGATCCTAAAGAAGCACCTCAAATTTTACATTCTATAAACAAAGATATTGTTGATAGTGATGCATTTCTAATTGTTACTCCAGAATATAATCAATCGATACCTCCTGCACTTAGTAATTTGCTGAACTATTTTCCTCCCGCTTCTTATGCGCATAAACCTTCAGCAATTTGTTGTTATTCAATAAGTTTTATAGATATTTTTTAAAAATTATATTAAGCATGTGATTATATACAGGTATGTTTGGTGGCATAAGATGTTCTATACAATTGCGAGGAATGCTAATTGAATTAGGTTCAGTATCTATACCATCTTTGTTTTCAATTTCAAAGGTGACAGAGGCATTGAATGAAGATGGTACTGCTAATGATAAAACAATGGATGAAAGATGTGATAAATTTTTAAAGCAGTTAGAATGGTATGCAATGGCTATAAAAGAACACAAAAAAACTATTCCTCCATCATAAATGCATGATTTAATTTTTATCCACAAGATTAAGTTACATAATTGACTAAATTATTTAATTTTATTGTCAAATTGCATTTTGAATGTATTATTTAAAAAAAAATAACCACACAATATTTTATTTATTTAAAAAAAAATAACCACACAATATTATTTACTTAAAATTTATACACATTTTATAGTTTTGAGACTATATTTAAATAACTATGATGATCATGGATAATTATAAATTTAATTTATTATAGCAAATAGAAATAAACATTGTTTTTGTAAATTTCTCAAAAAGTACAATTTACATCATTTTAACCTAATTTGTTAGTGATAATAAAGAGCTCTTTTTCTGCCAGACAAAAATTAATTTGTTATTTATAATAAAATAAGATTTTCAGAAATTAAAATTTTGACCCTGGTCAACATTTAATTTTATCACAATTCTAAGCTGGTTAAATTTAAATTTAAGTCCAGCTCAGATCTAATTTTGATTATTTCATGACCCAAATTAAATTTTTATTTATTAAAAATTTTGGATAAATTTTCTTAATTGTGTATATGATTATAAGATCATTTTATTTTTTGGTACAATTTATCTTTTCTTAAAGAATTATTTTTAATGCCTATGAAAGGATTGTAATTTTATTTTTAAGCTCAGCCCCAATTTTTTAAAATTATTCCATTGTTATGCTAGGCTGCACCTACAAATGGCATAAAAGTAAATAAAATATTATACTAATCTTTATTACAAGTTTTCTTATTCTTTTACAATTAATTTAATAGACTTTTATAATATAAAATAAAAATATCACTCATTTTGCCAATATCATATTACTGTCATGTACCTGGCAGATACCACGCACCAATGCTTATTTAAAATAGCTTCCATACCCCAGTAAATGGGTGGTATTTTTAATTTTTTTTCATAAAAAATTTAAACCCCATATTTATTATATATAAGAAAAAAATTGATGTTTATATATATTGTCTGGCCTTGTCGATGAGTGTATTGATCAAAAATCAGATAGACCTGGATTTGAATCCAGCAAGGATTATATTTTTTTCTGAAGCCAACTTGGTGGTTCCATACTTGGGGGATGAGTAACCATGTGATTCAGTTAATTCTTACTAAAAAAATTAGTGAGTCTTGTTACTGATAAAATTAGGTAGTTGTTTAACAAATTGAGCAAAATTTGGTTTTTGTTTGGGAAAATGGTGTGATGGGTATTGTAAAAAGTTACTGTATAACATGCATGATAAGGACCATATTTTATTTAAATTCATGAATTCTCTATTTTCTTCAAAATTTATATATACCAGGGTGTTACACAGGAAATTACAATATTATAAAAAAATTTATTTCTTAATTACTTAGAGATAGAAAAAGTAATATAAAAGAATTTTAATTTTGGGGTATAATCGTTTTTTTTTGCATTTAACTTGGATCACAACATAATCATTTTTTTCGGTTTCTAAAAACATTTAAAATTGTATAAACAAGTTATAAAAATAAATTTTTTAAAATGTGATAATGTAGTGCTCAGTGCAACATAACACGATCTTAGTAAAATACTGGTCATCAGTGACGCTGAGGCATTGAGTACCTTTATGTCCTTTATATACATCTCAATAAGATTTATACAGATAGTTTAGGCTTATGATATCACTAACACTAGACTATTTACCTTACCTTAAATATTTTAATCTTCAATTGACCACAAACATTTTTCGTTTTTTTAAAAATCCTTAAAAAAATTTAACCTTGCAAGTTTAGTGGAATAAAACATTATCAAATTTTTTACGTATTTTTTAAATGTTATTTTGGTTTATATCAACACCGACTTCGTAGTGTCGAGGTCACCTTTTTTTAACGACAAGTGGTAATATAAGAATTATAAAAAAAATCAATAATATTTACCTTTGAATTAAATATGAATATAAATTTTTTTTAAAAAACATTTTCTCTTCTGTTGCTGGTTATTATGTATTAAAGGTTACATTATGATAATGAATAAGGAATGCTACCTTTTTTTATATATATATAGCTCGAATCTCTTTAAAGATTAATAAAAAAATTATATTTAAATATAAGCCTTCCAGCTCTCAATTATTAAATTATAAGTGAATGTATTATATATATATATAACGACTTCTTATTAGAGATCTGCAAATCATTGACCGGCTCGAACATTTTAAAATAAATTCAGTTAAAGCGGGGTCGAGCCTAATATTTAAAAAATAATTGGACCGGGCTATGTCGGGCTTATTTATAAATATGATATCATTACATTTTATCAAATAAATTGATATTTTTAAAATTTTTTCAGGAAACAAGGCGCTTATATTTTTTATTTTTAGAAATTTTTTTTACAATCAAAAAATAAATTCGGGCTGGTCGGACAAATAATTTTTATAAAAAAGAATTCGTTCTAGATCTAGCAGGGTAGGATAAATTTTTATAAAAAAATTTTGGGCCGAGCCTGGTTTAAATTGGGCCCGATGCAGATCACTACTACCACTATATCAGGCAGAGGCACAGCGGGGGGTGGAAGCAGGAAAAAAACCCCCCATACCTCAAAAAAACGAAAAAATACACCGGCTAAAATATTTTTCAAAAATTGTTTCATGATTATTAACTTATATTTTATAATAATCGTTCTTACCTCTTATAGCATATATATTCCAATTTCATTTATTCGCATTGACAACAGAAATAAATATACTACTAATTTATTTTATGAATAAATATCGATTTCAAATTTTTTTGATGTTATATTTATCTATCATTTTACAATTTCCTAACATCAATTTGGGACATTTTAACTGCAAGGCTAAAATACATTTTAAAAAAATATCATCGATTTTATTGAGACTTTATGAATAAGTTGAAAGCATTATATTAGACTTTAAGGATAAGGAAAATGTATATGGCGAATTTCAGAAATTATATGTCATTGTCGATTGAGCCGAAGGCAGACCTCTATAAATTTAATTTGTCTTCCTCGCTTCGCATCGAGACAAGTCCATCATTCCAATATTAATATTGGGTCAGTGAGCCAATTTTCAAAAACGGCTAACTCACTATTTCATCCATAAAAAATATTCCCAGGCCTGAAGATTTTGCTTATAGAAGGAACAAAGGTTTAGAAATATATTATCAAAATATTGAGGTTTAGACAATATTTTCCTGACTATAATGTTGAGTTAATTCTTTTTAAAAATCGGCTCAAACCGAGCCGTTTAACAACCCTACTACAACATAACAATTCTTAACCCCTAACTAACCAGAAATGAGTCCAATTTTTTAAAAAAATTATCTAAATACATATATAAATACTTCTCATTTAAGATCAAATACAATGTGCTTTTTCAGATACAAAATGCAGATACGATACAGAAAATCGAAAAGTAGACAGATACTTCAAAAGATACTTTTATTGGATGATGTGAAACCTTATATTTTTGGACTGTTAAAAAATTAAGACAATGCTAAACAAAACACTTTATTTATAAAAATTTTGTTTATAAATTTTATGAAAGTAATTTATTAGAATAATGTGACAATTCGTATAAAAATAGCTAAACTACATTAATTTTTTTTATAAATAATCATATCTTTTAATAAAATTAATTTCTCAAATATTTTATCTGAGAATCTATGCCTATTTAGCCTATGGACAGGGTCTGCAAATCTAAATAGCCAACAGGGACTGAATAGGGCAAAATTTTCCTATCTTTTTTTGATGTGTTTAAATTTATGTAAATTGCTAGTATCTAGAGTTGTTTGCAACTACTTTTAAACGCTAGTCGTTATTTGCTAAAAATGTTGAGTTTTACGGCTACCTATCCAAACAAGGTAGTGCGAGATCAGCTACTATTCTTCAAATGTAGCTTTGGCTACATTTTAGGCTACTTTATAAAAAAAAATTGCTAATAAATTTGTTTTATTTTTTGGTTATAATGTAATTATATAAAAGTCACTATTTATAAATATTTGAATATAATTAGTTATTGATTATAAAAGAATTTTTATAAAAAGACTATTAATGTGATAAAAAAAATAACTATGATAATATTTATTTTATCACATTTTAATAATAAAATCATTTCTATATTTACATCCCCAAGTCTAGACCTGCGATCACAAAGTAAAAAGCGCTTTACTAAATAATCGCTCACACCGCCACTTGAATGATGTATTTAATTTTATAAATAAGAATAATCATCAAAATGATTCTCTTGAGAATTTTATTATTTATAAAAGGCATCTAAGAAATTTTCTATTGGATTAATATCCTTTATTTCAAAAATATTATTTGAAGAAATTGTTTGATGTTGTAACTAATGCATCTTTGTTTAGTATAAAATTATTCAGCTTAATCATGAGCCTAGCATGCTGGTCTTTAGATCCAAATGAGTTGATATATGGCCAGTTTAGTTTAAAATTTAGGTGAATCATGGCAGCTATTATCATCATTGTATAGAATGGGTCATCATATTTTAAAAAATTAGTGTATTTAAAATATATCTTAATCACTAAAATTTATTAAATCTTTTAGCTTTTAAGTTTGAATTAATTTTTCAGTAAGAATCTGAACAACTATATTACCTTATATTTAATCCAAAATAATTTAAACCAACTTAAATTATTGATCAATCATATAATTAATTACATTTATTTTGACTGTAAAAATAAAATCTCCAGACTATTAAAAATTATCTTCCCCTGGCACAAGTTTAGATTTATTTTGTAGGATAGGTACAGTGGGAATTAGCGTTGTTAAGTTCGATTTGAGCCGATTTTTAAAAATGGCTAACTCAATATTTTATGCAGAAATACGCAAAAGATTTTGCTCATAGATGGCACATAGGTTTGGACTTGGCGAAATCTCGACGCTTATATTTTTCTGGTTAAAATTGAGTTAGCCGTTTTTAAAAATCGGCTTAAATCGAACGGTTTAACAACAACAGCACTACTGGGAACAATACCCCATCTCCATATTATCCTCAACCTTTAAAATTCTAAGGGAAACAGCAATATATTGCATAACCTAAAAAATTAAAACATGAAAATGAAATTGAATACTTTTACCTCTTTGTACTCTTTTATAAAAGTATACTCTTCATCGATAATCCATTGAATTCCAACTTACACAGATTCTTTTTCGAGCAAAGTAAAATTTGAAGATCTTTTATTTATATTAATTTGATATCATTATAAACAGAATTCCATGTTGTT